GGTGCTCCTCAGGGCCTTCTCCTGTGAGCCCAGTCCAGTGACATATGGACTTCGCCCTGTACACCCAAGCAAGGCCCAGTGAAGCTGGCTGGCATCGGGCGCTCACCCAGGGAGGCAAACACACCACCTACTACACTGTAAGGACTTGCAGTGTCTACACTTTGTAACTGGCTCCTCCACTAGTCACTGGTAAACTAGTAACTGAAGCCTGTTTTGTTTAAAAATACCTTTACCTTTGCAACAAGAGTTGTCTTTATTACTTTGAAAGTCCTACCCGAGAGTGAATTCCTGCCCGATAGCTCACTTTGTGTCTCTCCACATGACACTGTAGTCTCACGGAGAGGATGTTTTGGTCTCCCTCTTTGCTGTGACTCTTCCCTGCTAGTCTTTGCCGTGGACTCTTCCCTGCTAGGGATTTTCATGGTCACCACCTGGCCTGTGTCTTGCAGTCCTACTGTTGGACAGGAAAACACAGCGGTGGCTGGGGTTTGCCTCAGAGCACTGTGGGGATGTCACTGATCCCAGCACTGAGCCAGCAGGTACCCTGGCTCAGCTCTGTCTCAGGGCGGCCTGCTGTCCTCCTCCCTCTCTAACCACATGGTTAAAGAATTATTTATTTAATTTTATTGATTATTATTATTATTTTGATTTTTTATAGGGCATGTGTACTCACCAGTGAGAAAGAGAAAGGGATAGAAAAAGAGAAAGAAAGAGAAAGGGAGGAAGAAAACTGTCAGATCTGGGACGCAAAGTGCAGTCTGGCATGTGGGAGTCCAGCACCTTAACCACCTTGTTACCTACTAATCACATCTGTAAAGCCATTGGTGGAGCTGGTGTAGTGGTTAAGGCATTGGATTCCCACGTGGTTGATAGCAGTTTGAGTCCCAGACCCAGTGGCTTGAAACTCATGCTGGGGGGATGTGTGTGCATGCCCAAAATTCTGAGAGGAGAATAGAGGAGAAAGGATTGCAGCATGACCATTCCTCTTAGGGGATGATTTCTTGCTCTCTCTCTAGTGAGTACACATGTCCTATAGCAAAAACTAAAAAAAGCACTTGAAAGTACTCTGCAAACTATAGCATTTAGTCAAAATGTTACAAAGCAGCAGTTGAAGTCCTAGGTGGTAACTCGTATCTATCACCAAATACTTTCAATGTCGTCATATGGAAAAAGAGTTAGCACTGCTAATGCCGTTTACCTAAGAGGATTCAAATTAAACAGAGGAAGCTAGGCTGTAGACATAGGAAGCTTAATTACAACTCCAGGTCACGTTATAGGAACCGTGCGTTCTTTGACACCTGTCAAAGGTGGTATTTTGAGAGTAGTCACACACTTTCTGTGTTCTCGGCTGTTGGTCCAAATCTGTGAAAGGTCCCTTGAACTTGGCGGTCTATTCAGAAGGTAGTGATGTGGCTGCAGGTCTTTTTCAATGAGGAATGAAAGAGAATGTTTACTTCCGACGTGGCTTTGCACCTGGAGAGACAGAAATTAAAAGGCCTCTCAGGATCTAGCCTGGATACAAATAGACATGTCTCCAGACAGCCAAGTGGGGGGCTTTTATTAAAAGGGGCCAGATGTTTCTAGGCAGTGGATAGATTTATCCTGCTTCATTTTTCATCCAAATAATACAGAACCTTGAATATGCCATGCTGCCAGATGGCCCTGACCCAATATTCTTTGTACTATAAGCCCTGTAAGTGAGCTGAGGCCCAGATCTCAGTGAAGCACTCTAGAAATGAGATCAGTCTAGACAGGGAGCCTAAGAAGCTGGAACTGGGCAGGTCCCACAGTGGGGCCGGGGCTCTCGCTCTAACCGACAAGGGAGACTCAGTCCACCGCCATCCATGACTTAGTGATGTGGGCACATGTCACAGGTGACAAGGGGGACTCAGCCCGCCGCCGTCCATGACACAGGAATGGTCACATGTCACAGGAGACAAGGAAGGCGATAGAGCTTCAAAGAAGTAGGACGATACAGGTGTGCAGGGTGCATATCCATTATCCGAAGTTCTTGTGACCAGAAGTCTTATGTGTTTAAGATTTTTTTCAGATTTTGGATTATTTGTGTACACATAAGGGGCTATCTTAGGGATGAGGCACAAATCTAACCACAGAATTTATTTAGGTTTCACGTACTCCTCACGCACAGAGCCTGAGGGAACGTCACGTGGCCTTTTTCCACTGTGGGGTTTTGATGACACGCTCTGCCATGAGGTCGAGTGGGAGTTTTCACTCGTGAATGCGTAATGCAGTGCTCAGGAGGTTTGAACGTTAAAGCATTTCAGGCCACATTTTGTATCTATCTGTATAGTCGGGACAGAAGGACTGTAGGGACCGGGATTCTGGGAAGAAGTGGTTGGGGACCACACGTGGCTCCCTGTTGTGGATACGTATAGCACACGGTTCCAGTCAGACACGTCCAGAGGCAGAAGGGCTTCCTGGTGACCCCAGTGTGTGTTGGAAGGGACCAGAGCAGGGCAGGTCTGGGGCTCCGATGTGGGGTGAAAGACAGGCATCATCTTGAGACCCTGCCAATTCCAAGAGTATGTGGCATTCGTTTGCTAGTCCAACCTAATGGTGATTTATGAAATAAATATCAGTGTGTTAAGGTGCAAGAAACGTAAATAAAAATCAATTTCAAAGGATACTTATATGCCACACGTCCTGCGATAGTGGCTGATACATATCTGGTGTTGGGCAAAGGAGATATCCTTTTTTGTTTCTTTCTTTCTTTTAAAATTTCTTTCATTAGAGGGAAAGGCAGAGAAGGAACGAGAGGTCAGTACCACAGGAGGGTCTTCATGCCATAGCCTACCCCTACCTCGGCCAACCTGGAGCCAAGGGCACAGGTGCACACGTATGTGCCCAGTGCACAGGGAGACTAGGATGAGGATCGCCCATGTGGGTGCTGCACTGCCAAGTGCTGGGTCCCCGCCACCCCACACAGAGGTCTGATAAGCGTGCTCTACTTACAACCCTCAGAACTGCCATTCCTGCCCCCACCCACTGAGGCTCCGGGCACAAGCGCAAAGTCTCAGTGGAGAGCACACATGCCCTGGCTTTCTAGCTTGCCGATCACCTTGCTTTAACCCGCGTACGCCTCTGCCTTTATACCTCACTGAGAGCAGCAGGGGCCACCACCACTCGCTGCCCTTCCAGTCCTCGGGTTCCTCCCAATGCCAGCATCTGCGTGTCTGATGGTCTGCGATTCCTGGCACAGTGTCTGGATCAACCCTGCCCCCCAAGGAACGACTAGATGGATGTCATCTATTTCAGGTTCATTTTGCTATAGCAGCAGCCTCTGTCCAGGGCCTAATTTCTACGTTAGCATGCAGGCTGCTCTATGTAATGGGCAATCCAAAAAAGCAGAGGCTTACGTAAGACGCCTGCGATGTACGCTGTTTCTCTCTGCATGAGCGTTCCACTGACAGCCCCAGGACCATGGTGGGCTTCCTGACACTGGCTTCGGGGTCTCTCCTGAGTCACACAATCCTGGGCAGCAGGAGAGGAGAGACCAGCAGGGAGACCATAGCGTGATAATCTGAAAACTGACACCAGACTCGGCTCCTCCGCAGCAGGCCACACTAAAGCACCCCACGCAGCTGCCTGCAAGAGCCCTGGACGTGAGGCCGTGTGTGGGCAGCTCCATGCAGTTCAAAGGAGGTGGTCATGGCCTAAAGAGGGAAAACGGAAAAGAAAACTGAGGGCAGAACAGAGTATCTGCCAGTGCTCATGCTTTCCTTTTCGATAACACTTTATTCATAGTAGAGCATTTGCCCTTGCAAGAGAGAGAGGAGAGGCCCCTCCACGGGGTCTGGCTATTCCGTGACCCCTCCTCCAGCCCTCAGGTCTCGGGCACTCATGCACACAGGTGGTGTGTTTCAGGTTGACCAGGCTGCGGAGTCAAACCTTGGTCACCAAGTGGGGGCTGGCTCCTTGGGAGGAGCACATTACCACTGCCCCACAGCGCTGGCCCAAGTATTTCCCTGATCCTCGGGTTTCTGTGGGTCCGCCATGAGAACATCAAGGACATGGTTACCCTTGCTTACTTACTGTTCCCCCTCACTCTGAATTCCCTGCGAGGCTCTCCCTGTCTCTGTCACTCACCTTTTATCAACATGCCTCGTGCCTGGGATGAGACGTGATGAACACGAGGTGGAGTGTGTGGAAGCCACACTATCCAACACAGCTGCAGGTGCACACCCAGTGGGGCACCGCATGGCTAGCCAGGTCAGTGGGGAAGGAGTCTCCTAACACACTGCTGAGATGCAGGTGATGTTAACTAGAGCGGTGATATTCCTAACCCAGTTTTCTCTTAAATGTATTTAATAACCATGAAAAACGCATTTAATCTCCTTTTTATTAGTCCTCACTTACACAGCTATTTCAGCACGCTGCCGTCGAGCCATAGTAACTTGTTTTCCTGGTTTTCTCGAGGCTGGGTACGAAAGCAGGTGCGGTGGTCAGTCGGCTTGTCTGTCTCCATGCTAGGCACCGTGGGTGGGTCCGGCGGCTGCTCGCTGCACAGATGCAGGAAACAGTGTGACAGAACAGTAAGGGGACCATACTTACTTATTAGGCAGAGATAACTTGTCTACCCCGTGCAGATCTGAGGTACGCAAGCCGTCCTTTCTTAATTGTGTAGAGCACTTGAGTATGTTGGTCTCTTCTCTGGTGTTACTGGTTCATGAGTTTTGAAAAGAACAAGCCAATTTTTTTAAGTTCAAAGTTATTTTCATTTCACCCTACATTAAACCACCAGGAATGACAAAGCAGCCTCTGAGCACTTGGTACCCAGTGTACCTCGGCCATCTCTGCCATGAGTGGCCAACACTGCCTGCATGGGGAGCACGCTCCGGCTTGTGTGTTTAGTAGCTGAGCAAGTTGAGTTTTAGTGTGGGCTTTTTTTTTTTTTTTTTTTTTTGTTTGCTATAAGGTGTGTGTGCTAGCTGGAGAGAGACGGAGAGAGAGACAGAGAGAGAGAGAGAAGCCATCCTTATGGTCCCAGTGGGGAATGGCTGCACCAAAATCTCTTCTCCTCCGTTCTCCTTTGGGATTCTGGGCATGTGCACACACACGTACGCACGCACACACACACACACACACACACACCTGCCATATCTTTCAAGTCACCGGGTCCAGGGCTCAAACTGTTTGGTTGATTATGTGAGATTAGCTGCCTTAATCACCATGCCCTGGGCTACCCTTAATTTCATAGCTCATAACACTTCATTTACACAGCTGTTTAAGCACGTTCATGGGGTCACTTCATAACCTGTCTTCTTACCTTTCTTCTTGATGGGACCGCTGAAGGCAATATATATATTAGATTCATGTATGTGTGTATATACGCACTAGAACACTTTATATATTGTACACATACCTAAATATTTTATATGTTATAATATATATACACGCACTTTATACATTATACATACACCTGCACATTTTATACACCTGCTATGTATTGCACGTATACCTGTGCCTTGTATATATGGTACCCGTACACTTCCACATAGTACATGTGGGATCTGTACACCACACACGCACCGTATATGTGTCACATATGCTCCGTGCGCTTGACACGAATGAGCAAACACAGATAGGCTTATAAAAATACCTGACTTGTTACTCTTACTCTGTAACTTACATTTTATGATTGCTCACAACCTTCATGGTGGGGGTGAGAGGAGCATTGTTTACTTTGAAATGCATTTGGAAAACTGAAGTGGATCACACAGGCTAATGTAAGACAAAGTTAGAGTAAAAATAGAAGCCTTGCAGCCCTGCCTGGTCTGAGCAGGCTTCCTGCTCGAATCAGAATTCAAAGGGGCCTTCAATGAGGGGAAGGAAGGGCTTGGTGTTTGGGGTGTGAGGTCGCTGATCTATTTGCGCACACACACTCGCTCACTCACTAACTCACTCACGCATGAGCACATGGTGGGAATGACTGAGGATGGGAGAAGAAGGAGAGAAGTCCAACAAAGAGTCAGTAAGAAGCCCAGCTGCAGGGAGGTGAGGTGAGGAGGGAGAACAGGGGTGTTTTTCTTCCACATTTGGGTAGAAACTGTTTACAAGGTTTATTTTCTACACGGGTGCTTGGTATCATCCTTGGAAAGGGCCTGCCTCTTCTTGGAGCTGTTAAGGTCCATGAAGGATGATTTGCACTGAGAAGGGGTCCATGCCACAAGCAGTCAGGCGCACACTGTCTCCCGTGGAGGTCACCCTCTGCACAGAAAGAGCAGGCAGCTGTGGCTGGACATGCTGGAGGCCAGCTTGGCATGATTCATGCTGTGACCGTAGGAACAGGGAGGCTTCATTCCAGTGTCTTCATGTGTCCAGTGGCCTTAAAAATCATTTTTAAACTCAAGGAACAAAGAAAGAAGCAAAGCACTTAAGGAACACAAAATTGGGAAATTATCTGTTGATGGAATGTGTATAACAATAAACTTTAAGTGGACTAATGCACAGTGTATTCAGGCTGGAAAATTTCATTTTATAAGCTGTAATGATATACAGTGATGGAATGTATAAATAAAAGATTAATTTTTAAAAAGTTTTAGAAGTTGTTAAGGGACCAGCAGGTGGCATAATGATTCTGTTGCTGGACTTACACGTAGTCGGTTCAAATCCCGGACCTAGTGGCTTAAAACTCACACCGGGCATGTGCGCATCTTCCCAAGATTCCAAGAGGATAATGGAGGAGAAGGGATTATGGTGTGACCAATCCACCAGTTCCCTGCTGGGAGGGTGATTTCTTGCTTTCTGTCTCTTTGTCTCTTTGTCTCTCTCTACATCTCCAGCAAGTGCATGCACCCTATAGCAGAAACCTCTTTAAAAAAAAAAAAAGTTGTCAAAAACCCAGCGTGTTTCTGTTACCCCCCACTCCCACTCACTCGTTATTTGAAGATCTGTCATTGGGGTCTGCCTATGTCATTGGGGTCCTTTTAGCAAGTAACACGTGCCACACACAGGAGAAACACACAACAGTGCTCAGGGAGGGAACCGAGGGGACCACGGAAAGCCTGCTGCAAACCCGCGGGCCCATTTCTAGCTGGATGAGGACCGCCCTTAACTGCCTCCGAGGTGGACCTCGGGGAGTTAGCGTCCAGTAGAAACTGCTGAAGTCAGGCTCTTCCACAAACCCTCTGTCGGGGACAGCGTGAAGGCCTCAGCCCTCTGTGTCCTGGGATTCACCATTTCCTTCTTTTATTTCTACCTTTCTTTCCTTCCGTCTTTTCATTTTTCTTTCCTTTTCTTCTTTCCACTTCTTCCTTTCTGCCATCTATCCTTTTTCCATGAGTGAGAAAGACAGAGAGAGAGAAGATGGAGAGACGGCATCCCCAGCGGGGTCTGATGCCGACATCCCCCAAGCCCCAGCCATTCCCGGGAAGAGCACACATGCCCTGTGTACGGGGAGGTCTCCAGACGTAAGCCTGGAACCGGACGCTCAGACCACCTGCTAACTCATGCGAGCCGTCCCACCCTGAACTGACCGTGCCTGAGGACACTTACTTTTGGTTCTACTGATTTAAAACAGGTGGAATGAGGATTTAATCGGATCGATCTTAGGAAAACTCATAGCCTATGATTTTCATAGGCTGAGACACCTATGTAAAAAATATCTGCAGAATATCTAGCTGAAGAGAGAGTATTGCTTTTAAAATTTTGGAGTTTTGGGACCAGCAGTTAGCATAACGGCTATGCCGCTGGACTCCCATGTGGTCAATTGTGGTTCGAGTCCCGGACCCGGTGGCTTAAACTCAGACCAGGCGTGTCTGCGTGTGTGCCCAAGATCCTGAGAGGAGAATGGAGGAGAAGGGATTGCAGCCTGGCCATCCCCCCTAGGGAGTGATTTCTTGCTTTCTGTCTCTCTGTCTCTCTCTGTCTTTCTGGTGAGCACACATGTCCTATAGCTAAAACCGCTCAAAAAAAAAGAGAGAGAGAGAGAGAGAGAGAGAGAGGTAGAATTTTGGAGTCTTACAAAAATTTTAAGAAGATTAACTATTAAAAAAATACATGAGAAATTTCTAGCTGCTACTCACATTTATCTTCTACTGAGATGAAATACATTGTCTTGCTGTGGCAGGAGTTTTGTGGTTTAATTACATCAGAATTTTCCCCACATTCGGGGTAAAGTCCCAGAGAAATTACAGTGAAACTGTAAGCACTCCCTCCCCCCCCCTTGCAGATACATGTAAGACAGAGAGGTCCCTGTGCACTGGTTCACTGGTCATTTGCACTCACCTCTGTGTTGCGGCTAAGAGGGACACCTCATGCCCTTCCCCTGGTGTGCCCTGGGTCTTCTGCAGTGTCTTCTGCAGTGAGGTCACAAAGGCAGACCCTTTAGGTCTCTCCTGAGGGTCAGAGTGTGCTTCTGTGACTTGGGTGGGGCAGGGTGGCTTTTGGGGTTAGTGCTAGAAACATTAGATCGGGTCTCTGAGGCCGTTTTTCCTATGTGAACTCTGATCCTGGCGAGCATAAGTCCTGGCCAGAGTTTGGCTTGCACTGGCCTCGGGGAGGGGCTGTGGTAGCAGCACCAGCTGGGGTTGGTCCCCCAGGGAAGGCTCCTGTGGTTTCTGAGAGGCTGGGTCATTCTCTTCCTGTGGTGGACACACAGGAAAAGAACTACCTTTTAGTGTAACTGTGGCGCTCTGAGAGGACTGGGAAGTGAATTTTTAACAATAATCATTAGGGGACCAGCTGCGGCATGGTAGTCGGGGTGGCTGGATCTCACATGGCCAACTGCGCAGTTCGGATCTCGTTCCTTGCACGGCCTGCAGGGTGCATTTGAGTGTGTGCTCAAGATCTTGAAAAGGAAGAGATCCAGGAGAATGGAGGAGGTGTGACCATCCCTCAAAGGAGCGTCTTCTCACTTTCCTGCTTTCTCTCTCCCTTTCAGGTGAGGCCACACACCTGGCAAATCAAAAGAGAGAGCGATGGTTGGGGCCTTGCCCTCAGTGTCCTGAGAAGCTGCATACCTAGTGGTGGCTGCCTGGGGGGAAGTTGTGTTCGCAGCTCTGTCCTGCTTCTCCTGAGCGCACCATGGGTCTCAAGCACGGCTCTGTGTCCTGGACAGGACTTGCTGGAGCATTGTGCCTTCTGCAGCATTTCCCACGCCTGGCACACCGCACCACATGACGGGCTCGGGTCTGGGGTTTTGCTCACTCCTTCTCTTATGTTGTAAAAGCTGTCATTTGCTTTTAACTTTCTCTGAATTGCTATTATACAACAGTATGCACTAAAGACTACTTGTGCTTGCTGTGAGTTATAAAATAGCCTTATGTACTTTCTTTTTGCTTTTCTTTCTTTCTTTTTTTTTTTTTTTGAGAGGTTTTTGCTATAGGGCGCATGTGCTTGCCAGACAGACAGAGACAGAAAGACAGAAAGCCAGAAATCACCTCCCAGGGGGGGTGGCCATGCCGCAGTCCCTTCTCCTCCATTCTCCTCTTGGGATCTTGGGCACGCACGCACACGTGCCCGGCGTGAGTTTAAGCCACCAGGTCCAGGACTTGAACTGCAATCAACTACATGGGAGTCCAGTGACATAGCCATTACGCTAACTGTGGGTCCAATCCTTATGTACTTTCTAATCTTCAGTTAAACAAGTTATCGTCCAGTGCCTTTGTATGATCAATAAGGAATGTAACTGAGAGAGGTAGAGCCTGCAGCCTCCTGCCTCCAGCTGTCTCTGGGCACTTCCTCCCTCTCAGGTAGTTTTGAAATCATTTGCAGAGCTCTCAGAGGTATTTATAATGCTGAGTGTATGAGATGTTCCTGAGGGTTAAACACAGCTCTGCCAGGTGTGATCTGAGAGCGGGGCTCCTCTATTTTGTGTTAAGTCTTTTCTCCAGGTGGTCAAGGTGTTTGTAACCTCCAGCTAGGGAGTTCCCTCACACCTGCATATCAATGGGCCTTTTCTCAACCTGAGCAGTAAAGGCATTGAAACACTTAACCCTGGAACTTCCCAAATGTGTTTTTAGTCCCTAAAGATAGAGCCCCAGGACTCCAGGTCCACTGTGGTCTGTGTACCCAGGAGTAAACTCTGCCTTGGCTGCTGAGAGAGACTTCAATGTTTAGAAGTATATTCTCTGTCTTATTCATGGTAGAGAACATGTGCGTGAGCACTCATGACTGACAGGCAGAAAGGGCAAGAAGAGAGAGAGAGACCCCAGGGCCTCATCACTCTGGCTTCTCAGGATCCCAGCGCCTGTGCACACCTGGCATGCTTCAGGTCTGCCCAAGGATCTGAACCCACGGCTGGCTACATGGCTTCCAGACTGCAGTTCAGGACACTCCCACCTGTGCCACAGAGGCTGTGTCTAAAAATAACTTTTAAACATTTTGTTTCAGATCCAGTCATAAGAAAATAGTGACTTACACACATAACCCCTGACTAGATCCTCCTCACTGCAGTCAGGTCCACTGGGATGATGTTTCGCTGTCACGGAGGGCATTCATACAAATATGACCTAGATATAAAGAAGGTTTAAAAAGTGAGTGAACAGCCAGCAGTCAGTATTAGAAAGAATGCATACGGTTCTCATACAAGGGCTTGGATTACCTCGCAGCCTGCACTTAAAGGAAGATTAAGCTCCGGTGCAGCTTTGAAGTGTGCTGTGCTCTCGAGCCCAAGCCCGTCAGCAAGTCCCTGCTAGCCCCACACCGGAGTCCTGCTCCTCCTGCCCTTCCTCCCGCCGCTGAGCCGGGGCTGGTGTAGTCACCAGAGTACTCACATACGGGGAGGAAATGCCAGTTCTCTGGGTTCCGTTTCCTGGTTTCATTAAGAGGAAACTGAGGCTTGCAAGGGTCACAAGTGAGCTCTCGGCCAAAGCGGTGCTGTGCTCGCTGTGCTGCTGCTCACGCATCGCAGCCGTGTCCCGACCCCAGCTCTCTGTGGTCTACCTGTCCTCGGGCTGCGCATCCACAGAGGGTGTTCGAGTTAGCAAGGGATGCCCTAGAGTGTAGGTAGAAACCAGTAAGACAGCAAGTGCCTACTTTGTTGTTGTTAAAAGGATACAAAAACAGCCCATTGTCATTCTAATAATATATACATTTCAACTGGTGCTCAGGAGCCAACCTGCTCGAATCCAGCCCTAAGAAACAATAATGCCAGGATTTCTAATGTGCAGTAGAAACTTGAGTATGTGCGTGGTCCCCTGAATACGTGTGGTGTGTGCGCGTGTCGTTGTGTATGTGTGAGTTCACTTGCACATGTGTGGTGGCTGGTGTATACGTGCACACGTGGGGTGCATGTGTTGTGTGTGCCTGTGGAAGAGTGTGAGTTCATGTGCATGTGTGTTGTAGGTGGCGTTCATGTGTACACGTGTGGTACATGTATGATGTGTGCCTGGTAGAGTGTGTGTGAGTTTGTGTGAGTGTGTGGTGCACATCTGTGTGCATGCACATACGTGCGTGTGTGTGCAGCCCTGGGGATGCCCGCCCTGCCCAGAGGCTGAGGCAGTCACTATCCTGTGGCAATTGCACATGCCGTGGTGGCCGGGGCGGGCAGCGTGCAGTGGGGGCTTGGTGATGCCATTCTCCCCGGGCAGGGCCGGCTGCACCAGCTGTGGTTTCTGTGGTTCATCTAAACCTTAGAGGGAAGCCGCATGTGCAAGGAACTTGAACGACAGAAAGTGAACAGCATGGTCATTTCCAAATATTTGAAAGATTAGAATTTAAGAAAGTAACTTAGCATTGTTGACAACTCTGGGAACAAGCTGTAGAAAGGCATTTGAGTTTATTATGAGGAATATTTTTTCCACTATTTACAATTTTATATCAACCAAATTAACTTCTCTGTGAATCTGCAGTTTCAGTGTACGGGCCCTTTGATTGGTGACTGACTGGTGACGTGTCCTAAGCGGAGGCCTCAGTGCTCTAGTTGATGACTGTATGTCCGTTACATTATAGCACATATTAAATTTGTTACAGCAATGCAAGTCATGTTATTTAACATTTTACATTGTGTTTATATGATAAAATACTATTCTGTTATATTATTAAAATACTATAGTATTCTACATTATCTTATTATGTTATGTCAACAACTCAAAGAATAGGGAAATGCCATAAAATTAGCTACGTGGTTTTCCTGTTGGTGCTCTCCCAGT